GTTGTGATGTTGAACACAGCTTACAAGGACAGCACTATGGGAAAAACTCAAGTTTATGAGTGGTTTTCTCATTTCAAAAAAGGGGAAATGTCAATTGATGACGAACCTTGTTGTCTGGACATCCATCAACTTTCTGAATGGACAAAAATGTCAACAAAATGTGTGTGCACTTGTGCCTGAAGACCGAGGACAGGCCACTGAGGAGATGGGGAAGTTATCTGGACTGTCCTGGAGTTCAGTTCCGCAAATTGTAATGGAAGATTTGGGAATGAGAAGGGCTGCTGTGAAATTATGCCTCGGGTTTTGACTGATCAGGAAAAAGAACGAGTGGAAACATGCTGTGCTTCAAAAGAACATCTCCAAAGTGAACCAGACTTTTTTCCCAAGGCCATTACTGGTGATGAGACATGGTGCTATTCTTCAACCCTGAAAGTAAACAATCAAGTCAGTGGAAGACGCTATAGTCACCTCGCCCAAAAAAAGCTCATTAAGTGAAATCAAAGATCGAGAAGACGCTCATTTGTGTTTTTTGATGCGAGGGGCATAGTGCATTTGGAGTTCATTCCACCAGGTCAGACTATTAATCAAGCTTTCTATTTAGAGGTTCTGAAAAGGTTGCGTAACAGTGTGTGACCAAAAAAAAAAGGTTTGATTTGTGGCAGACAGGGGACTGGTTTTGCCGCCATGACAATCAATGCACCTGTTCACACAGCCATCTCAGTGCACCAGTTTTTGGTAAAAAACAGCATGCCTCCCTTGCCCCACATACCTTACTCGCCTGACCTTACTTCAATCGCGGAATGAAGGACATAAAAGGACAGTGATTTGACAACACAGAAGAGGTGAAGAGGGAAAAACAAGGGAGGTACTATCAGCCATCCCAACAGATGAGTTTGAAAAATGTTTCCACGAATGGAATTACAGATTTGACAAATGTAGTAAGTGTAATAAAGTACTTTGAAGGTGATAAGGTTGTTTTGTAAAAAAATTTAAATACATCATAGCTTGGGGGGGGATTCCATTTGGCGGGGTGGGGAGGTACCTCCTCGTAAGCTTTCCTTGCAGGTTTTTCTCTTTCTGAAATATGGTCACAATCCTAGGTAGATACAAGGGGCCTTTTGCTGGAGGTACCCCGATGATGCGTCCACTGGTACCCAAAAGTGCTTCACACATACTTACCATTTCATCACACAGTACATTAAACGAGGCA